GTGTGAATCCAATCTCCACCCATCAGATGGAGAACTCAGCTCATGTCATGGTAATAATAGAATGAGAAGCCTGTAAAGAAATCTAGGTGAAAACTTAATTTACTATCAAAGCTAACACAACATGAGAACACAGCAAATTCTCAGGACATGCACATTATGAGTCAATGTGCATTTTGATAAGATTAACTTTACAATATCAATAGCATGCAATATTATAGAGGACAAGTTGTAAGTAGAAAGAATAGACTGTTGTTTTGTTTTTTTTTTTTTGGCTTTGGAAACTATAGAACATTAAACAACAAGATACTCAAATATTATGTATTTTAAAATATAGAGCACACCACCTAACAAGATTAAAATCATCACAGCAGAACTCTGCATTACCACAGTAACTTACTGGATGACAAAAATCTCCTTGCGTCTAAAGAAAAATGAAGAGTATCTGGAAGTAAAGAGTCATTATTTATTTAGTATACAAACACACTGCATTATTTTTGATTTGCTACTACAAGAACAAGAGCATCAAACATCTCACACTTCAACCTACTTGCAGGACATTCATTGTATTCTGTATTCACATATTTTTGCCATTGTTTGCAAAGATAGCTTAAGTTTAGAACAGAAGTAAAATTAATGACCAGAATTTGTCAAAGAATGATGATAAAATGCAAATTATTTTAAATAGGATTTCATAGACCGGTCAAAAATTATGTGGTTTTGCTGAAGCCAAAATAAGAATTGCCCTGCTAAAAGTGTTCCAGTTTCTGCAAGTTTGATCCAACACTAAAACACCATCACTTCTTTGCCTCATATCGTAAGACAATAAAAACATCAAAAGATTTCGTCCTTAGATTCATTTTCAGCAAAGAGCATGCCCCAGAACATTTCTGTGCTTAATTACCCAACCAAAGAGATCTAAAGTATGTATGTTACACTGTAATGGGGGTTTATGCCTGGACAATTGAATATTTTATTTGTTTTCTGAAATAATGTGAACTTATTTTTCTAAACATTATGCTAAAAAAACTTCGCATTTATACATTAAAAAAAAAATGCTGATGGAAAAGAATACCATGAGTCCTTGTCTGTTTAATAGAGTTTACACTGATCTCCTCTAGTAAGTTTCAGAGTTACACACACACACACACACACACACACACACACACACACA